AGAGCACTTGGCACAAATGTAAAACTGCCCAGTGCAAGGCCAAGAATTCAATCAGTATTTTCAATCATATTATCAGATTCTACATAAATTGACTGACCATATAACGATTCAGTATTTAACTAATCTCTTAATCCAAAATTCCTATCATCATTTAATAATTATGCAAATTTTTTCTTTCAGATTGCTATTTATTTAAATTTTTAATGCTGCAACTGTTCCAAAATAATCTTGTAGTAAAGGAAAAATGCAAATAAGAAGTGGAAGACCAATTTTACCCACATTATTCAATTATTTGAATATAAAAAGAATAAGATCACGATTTAACAAATTAAAATAATCTTTCATGAACTCGTTCACAAATAACATTAAACAAAAATAAAAGTTATAAATCAGTGGTAATGGCTTATTTTGGAATATATGACCTCTGCACAACATCAGTACCTGACTTGGTACTACTTGGATACATAGTTAGATTTGATAATGTAACAATGAGAACAATATATATTATAATAATGAACTTCTCTGCACATATCAGACGCTTGTTACCATGAACTAACACTACTTGACAATGGGCTGAGCACTTATCACAGAGTCTGTGTGCGATGCCATTCTTGTGCTGTGATTGGTTAGTTGAGTCACGTGAAGCCCTACTGTTGCGCCCTCGCGTATCACGTGAATGCTGCACATTTCTTGCCATGGTCTCTTTTTCAATTCCAGCTTGAAATCAGCTTCAAAGAATACATAAGGCCTTAGAGAGAAACAGGTTTATTGACCAGACATGCAGGATATTTATGCTAGATATATTGAACTGGTATTTCTATATCTGGAACGACTATTTCACAAGTAATAGGCGTGTTGTTGATGACGGACAGCGGGCACATGCATTCTGATGTGATCCAACACGAGAGCTACCCAATGCACTTTCTCTGGAGGATATCAAACCCCTTACGTATGACTCATTATTTTGACATTCGTCATAATTGAGGATGTGCGTAGATGAGATTTCAATGCTTTTAGACTTTATTAATAGTGCACCGAAGCGTTCAATGCTTAACCACCAGATTTCCAAACCTGTCTAGACTTACTAACAGGTGTTTAAAACCGACTTTTTAACGAAGAACTGCTTACTGAATTTGTTAATTTGGACATTAAATAACGACATTAAGCCAAATGTCTCCATGTTTCGCCTTTCTCATTGCAATTCTTTTCTAATTATGTTCGAAACTAAATTGCGTGAGCAGTCAACTAACACATGAATGTTTATTAACGTCATCTCACAGAATATTTAGATGGCATTTTTTTTCATTGAATTTTATGGAGATCTTATTCTAATTATTCATTGCTTTTGAGAAAATCTTGAAGTTTTTGAGGAAAAAAGGAAAGTAGTGACTTAAGAATTCACCAAATAATCGAATAATCTATTGAAGCAAACCAGATGTGGAGTGTTATCGTCTACATGTATGTACTGTCATCCATTCGTGAATGAAAATTGACTTTTTTAGTGTAAGAAATATGATATTCTCATCAGTAAACTATTTTTTCTATTCAAATTAATTGTTTTCATCGAATATTTACATTACGCGTTCATTTTTTCCCTTAAAGCACATTTTATACCCACATCTGTTTTCTTCATAATTAGTAATTATACATTTGTTTGCTTGTTTTCTTGAATTTTTAATCGGTTTGCAAGTGTCTATGCCCTTCATCTACAGCATATAAGCTTGATATGAGGTGGAATTCATAGTTTTCCACAGAAATAATGCATAAATTGTGTCCCTAAACAACGATTCTTTTTTTCCACAACTGTTGCACCATCTTTAGGATGATTGTAGTACAACCCACCACCATCCCAGACACCCTCACCCGAACAGCCCCCCCCCCACAATTTTCCCCAGACATTTCCTCACCTTGGCTAAGGGCAGGCAATTTGATTAAGGGGGGATGATAAAACAATTAAAAGTGACAGTTACTTCCGGAAAGGAACACCTAGATGAGTGAGAGTATGTGTTTAACCCACTTTAACTAGAGACACATTTTTATTAAATGTGCACAATTTTTTTTACTTATTATCACATTGATCATTCACACCATCATATCCATTATAGGTGAGGGGATTCTCTGGGGAATGCTGGGTTGTCCAAGTATGTGTGTGTCCTGATACCCTTTATGAGCTACTGTAAAGTTGATAACTTATTGTTCGAATCGAGCTAATGTTTGATAAATTGGAAGTACAATAGCCCAAACACATACATATATTTAAGAATGAAAAGGTTGTTATGCTAAACTTTTATCTTTATGTTGCAAATGAAAATAAAATAATGACATTGGCATTGTGAACGCCATTGATTCTAAAAAATATTAATGCTTCAGCATATATTAATTTTGTGCTCAGGGTGCACGGGGGAAGCCGACATCGTATTTCTTGTGCATTCCTCAAACAGTCTGGGGAACAGTGGATTTCGACAAGAGCTGAATTTCGTGCAGCAGCTTATAGTAGGCTTCGATATATCCCCTGATTTGGTGAGGGTTGGGCTGGTGACATTTTCATCTTCCTCTGAACTACGGTTCCCGTTAAACAGATACCAAGATGTCCAAGGGCTACTTAAAGCAGTCAAGGCAGTACCTTTCAAGAAAGGCAATACAGCAACGCACATGGCTTTCTTACGAACCAGGGCCCAGGTATTCCAGCGAGGCTCGGGAGATAGACAGAACGTCACCAACGTTATTGTCCTTTTGACCGGTGAGCAATCCAGATTTCCAGACAGAACTTTGACGGGTGCTCGCCAACTTAAGAATGACGGTGCAATCATCTATACCGTCGGAATCGGCGATAAAGTATGATCCTTTACCATGAAAGTTCTTTGATTTTTTTAATGGATACGTGTATTTTTGTATCGCCATCTATCACAATAAAAGTACCCCAATGTAACTTTTAGTTTACTTGCCGAAATGCACAGTGGCATTTAGCTTATGCAGTAGATTTTTGTTAATAGATTCTTGGTGAGCATACTGAATCATCCATCAAAATTTTTAAAAAGGGAAACTTCAAAAGCCAAAACATAAAAAATATCATACCCACCCACCCAATATATATATACTTTCAGGGGATGGGGAGTTGTATTTTTTCTTTTAAAATCGGTACATTGTTCATTGAATTATCTCACTTTTTTCTCCTTTCTAGCTGGATAAACAGGAACTGTCAGCAATCGCTTCTGATAAGGACACACTCTTTACGGTGGACAGTTCAAGCCAGCTACTTGAACTTAGAAACAAACTTCTGGCTGCCATCTGTACCAGCAAAGAGACACCAGGACTAAGTTTAGCTATACCAGGGCAAGCTACAGTTGGCCCGGGAACAACAACAGCTTACGTGTGAAAACCTCTAGTTTATATCACTTATCTCCGGTATATGTTAAAACGTAAATGGTTAAGTATGAAATCAATACCCAATCGTATTCCAGTATAATTGAATTCGTGTCAATAAACATTGAATATGTGATTTTTTGACTGGAAACATTTGTAATGTTGAAAAAAAGATGATCACAAAAGTGTTTTACTAGATTTTTGCGGCAAGTGTGTTGTCCTCTAACGGAAAATGATGCCGTTGGATACATATTCGATCCGTACAGCTGAACATCATATTGGATGTGTGAGAGACGGCCCAACAGGGGTCTGGACGGCTAGATGTATACTGTCATTGTTCGCAACTGTTCCATTGGAACAGTTTGGGACCAAGATAGCCAAGCTTACATCCGTTGTGACGATCCTCAAGCTGTTTGCAGAGGCACCGCACCCAAGCCACCGATGGGTCCCTCGCATTGTCCTTTTCGTGAGTGTTTTTGTTGATTATAATCAAGAATAAACCTTTGCATATCTAAAAGCGATTTTAGTATGACTGTTTAATTATCAGTAAACCTAAAATTAGTCCCATGGATCTAAAACTTAGTATAAAAAATAGTTATTTAATATACACAAATGAGGACAGAGCAGAAGACAGACAAGGAGTGAATGGTAATTTCATTGTCCTTGTTTATTTTAGTCCAGCAACAGCCAAAATTGGAACTCTTGCTAACTGACATTTAATTGTTCTTTCCTCTATTTTGTTTTAGCCGACCATCAGACTGGACTGAGGCCCACAAAATCTATGAACACATGGGGCGGTAAGGGACAGTCATTTAGCAACCAGTAGAATTTGATTTTTATGTATCAGTTTGAGAATAAACATTTTTGTCTTATCGTATTGTGAGTGGCCAATGGCCAGTTCTGAATTACGGAATTATGGAAATGTGGACATAAATTCCCATGCAGAATTTGTGTTCTTATTTATTTACTTACTTAATTATTTGCTTACTTTTCTTATTTTTTTGAAAGTTTTTTATTGGTTTTTGTGTCCTTTTGTTTCATTCTTTCGCCATTCTTTTTTTTTTAAAACCCTTAACACACTGTCTTTAACGTTTCCAGAAAGTTGCACCGACTCTGTTGGAAACACCCTTACATCTGTTGTTGAAGATGAACAGATATATTACATATTACAATATCCACGGGCTCCTGTAGGACCGGTGTCCTGTTTTCCACACAGATTTAGCCTAAGCCGCTGTGGATGTGAAGCCCCTGGTATGACCTGACTTCTGTTTTGAGGGAAAGTGCAAGTTTCGATTTTGGAACTAAATGTGTCAGAAAATGTAGTATTGTGATATGTGACTCGTCGCCTAAAATGGGAGAATAGTATACCTGTCAAGTGTTATTCAATGGATTATGTTTCATTTACTTTCCTTTTTTTTCAGTGTTTAGCTCCATCATCTTTCAATATGAGGAAGATTATGCTTCAAAAGGGAAGACCGCGTATTCTGAGCCAAATGATGTTGCCCATGCTTCACTGTGTGAGAATACTATTGAAGTTCCCGATATGGCCAGGGTGGGGGATGGTGCTCTGTGTAACGATGAGTTCGGTAAGATGTTATTTATGGCCGTTGGAAAAAGAAAGAACTAATATGGGTGAGAGAGAGAGAGAGAGAGAGAGAGAGAGAGAGAGAGATAAAAGGCTTAAATGTATTGCATTCAGTTTTCTTGATTTATCCTCAGGTCATGTTGAAATTCCTTATTTCAAGAACAACCCCCCTGACTATCCATTCACCATTCATTTCTTCTACTGGCTGGATGAGGATGTGAACACAGAGGGAACGAGTATTGCACTGCTCAACAACGGCAAGTGCGACATCTTAACGACTGTTTAAATCTATTTCGAAGAAGGTGGAATTGGGGTTTATATGGAGAAAGAAGACGGATTTTACGATATACCACCACAGTATGTGGTACGTTCTTATCCTCTCTCTCTCTCTCTCTCTCTCTCACACACACACACACACACACTCAGACTGCAAACATATCCACACCGCGTTTCGCCTAGACACAAGAGACACATTTTGCTTTATAATAAGTTACTAAGTGGTGTATTATTAACTGATTTGTTTCAGGAAGGTGGGGGACAAGGCGCCTGGGTGTGTGTTGCCGTGACATACGATGGAGATTACATGGCGTTGTATTTAGAGGGCGAAGAATCTGAAGCTGTAGAGGCATCCGGTAAGAGGAAAACGGATAATGTTACTTAATGTTACACACACACACACACACACACACACACACAAAGAGAGAGAGAGAGAGAGAGATTTCCAATTCTAAAAGGATCGTACACAAGATAGAAGTTACCAAGATAATTATGGTTGTGGTAAAACAATTTGTTTCTCTTTTCATAAATTAATGTATTTATTATTTCAGGTGTCATTTTATAACAGAGTACTCTCCGCCGAGGAGATTGGAGAATTATGTTCACAATAAAGGCCAAGACCAGAGCCCACTTGAGAGTGATTGACAGCTGACAAGGATAATCCAGTCCATCCCAATTCACGTTGAACATTACCCCAAACTAAGTTCTTCCATTCATCAGATCAGTGACATATACATCCTTTAAAAACTTTCCAACCAAAGCATATTTAAAACAACAGAGGTATAAACGCATTATACGTACAACATCGTGTCAGCTGTCTGGATGCCAATAAATTAGGATACAGGGCGGTCCTTCTCAATTTTGTTCTTCAAACGTTGCGTCTGGTATCGGCACTCTGGATGACATTTGAAAATGTGTTTTATATGGTGATATATGCACAAACAAGTGCGCGGCGTCTACTAAGCAGGTTTAATTGAGATTCTGATTTCAGTAATTGAATGAAAATGAACACATTCTGTCTGTTCACTACCGTGTAGAAGTTAGCGGTATGTTAATTAGGTAAAGAATGTTGTCACGGTTGTTTTGATCAAATAAAGACGAAATAAATGCATGAATAAAGACTGAAATGTGTGGTTTGTACCTTTATGCCCTGAAGAGTTGGCTTTTTCTTCGGTTTTAAATTGTTACTGGTACTACCAGATTTTTTTATGCATGCAAGACCATTTTCTGTTGATACACTTAAAGAGATTATAAAATTATGAAAATTATAAAATAAATACATTGTAAACAACAAAAAAATATATAATTAATTCTACCTCCAAAATGGCGGTTATTGCTATTTTTATGAAATTCTGTGCTTGCCATTGAACCATGTGGACCTTCATAGATGGCTAGATAGATCTCTTAAAAGAAATTATTACGTAGGGTGACCATCTATGAACGTCCCGGTTATCCCAGGAAAATCCGTCTCTTAAGAGATTATTACAAAAACACACTTAAAAACGAATCTAGTAACTTAAAATATCAGAGCGTATTTATTAACCATTGGTAAATATCATCTTTTACCCCAGGAAAATCCGTTATGGCACTTTTCCCGCCAAAATAAAGAGTTGTTATCCCTTTAATCAATATTCGAAATTAGGTATTTTGGTGCCAATTAATGGCTTTTGGTGTGGGCTTTTGTTAAGAAAGGCATTTCAAACGTTTTAAAAAAAGTGAAAACAAGTACGTTTTGGCAAAATAGCATATCGTTTGGTTGGAAATATGTAAGATTTAATTGAATCCCAAAATCAACATTACAATTGCGTTTTCGTTCGTTATGAAACGAGAAATTTTAATGTATGTTCGATATCTAACACTTTTAGTGTACCTACCGATATAATTTTAGACAAAATAGCAATTGCTTGATTTCTGCATTCCATCATTACTAGTTTTAAATTTAAATCTAGATAATTGGCATCAGCAGCACTGTTAGAGACGACAAAGTGGTGCCCCCTGGCTTATAATTTGTCAAAGAAATAACATATCCCCATTGCCAGTAATCTTCCGTACTTTGGTCGAAATTTCAGTGAAATAGTTTCAACTACAATGGAACGGGTCATCGTAAAGGGTCAATAGTCGAAATAATATTTCAGCAGTTTTGTCAAATGAAACGTGTTTCATCTTTTATGTTACTATTGAAGACCCTTTCGTGTTCTAGGGTATTGAAAATTTATTTGAGTTTTTTACCTAATTTAACTTAATTGAGAAGATTGAACCGTACACTAAAATTAGAATTCAATATCTAAATTATACCATGCAGTGCAGTCAATTGTAAAAGATTAAAATTTTATTGGGAGGGTGCAGTCATGGCTACTTAAAGTATTAAAATGAGAACCGTAAACGCGTTTCAAGCATGCACGAGAACCTACACGCGTCACTGGCAATCATCCGATTGGTCACCCAATGAAAAGCATTAACCTTATGAGTCCTGCAATGGGTCAAAGGTCATAGAGTAAAATTCCTGTAACCAATTAGTGTCTAGGGGTAGACGGCCCGATGGGGACTCACACATCCTCTGGGGACAGATAGACATGACTGTCGTTATTAAAACGCTTTATTTGTGAATTCCATTTAACAGCAGTGCAATGTCTACCAGAATATACATAAACCATTGGACATATTAGCAAATACCATGACATCAGTGACTTTTCTTTTGAATTGTTTTCCACACGTTTAAAGAGCGCCAAAACCATTCCTGAAAATTGCTGTGTCGAAAACGAAGGCAAAAGTAACACGGGCATTCCTTTTGCTTTTCAGCCCTGCTGTGATATATTCCTGGTTGTCAAAACTGCTTTAGAACCATTTGGTGAATTTTAGAAAAGAAAAAAAGTGGCATCTTCAAACCAAATTACACGTTTTAAGTTGTTTAAGCGCTACTTTTTGCTGTTACAGTCTCACTCGATAACTAACTTGCACGTTTTCTGTGTTTGACAGTGACTTCCCCGCAGGCCAGATAACTCTTTGTGTTTTGATTTATTTTCACCTTCTAGTTGCCTTTTTATAACGTGGACTACTTTAAGTAGAGACCTTGTTTGGCGAATTTTAGTCCGTTATCCCGGATCACGGTACTAGATTTTCTCCATATTTCAAGTAGGACAGAGGAATGAGACGTGGGAGGGGGGGGCACAGAGGAAGGACAAAGTGCAGTGAATTATTTATAAAATTTGGATAGATGTATAGATGGTCTTGAGACACATTTCCTCAAGTAATGTTTTAATCATCTTTAATGGAATCATAGACCCCATAGCAGTTACCATATATGACATTTAGACACAATAATTGGCACATTAAGGTGTCTCGACAAATTCCACTTGACTAATTATCAAAACCAAACCCTATTACTATGGCAAATCTTTCCATCCAGTGAAAACTAGCAAGGAAATAATCTTCACATTTACCTTTATAGGCTTCTTTAGCGTGTTACTTTGGATACCGATGCCTAAATTCTTCCCCATGCCTAGACATATTAATTGCAAATACAAATGAAATACAAACATAAGAATAAAATAATGAACGTCAAAATATAACAATTTTGTCTTACAAAAAGTATTTTTCTGCATGTTACAACTTTGGGTTTTTATATTAATCATTGCTGACACCAATTTGGTCTACTTTGATACGAGACTAATTTCTGACATGGTAACTTGGCAACTAGTTGACCAGATGAGAGGTGAGCGTTGTGCCCATTTTGCAGTGAAGTGTAAGCATTTATCACCACGTGGCAAGACCGTGACAAGTCCCAAAATTCACAGATAATAGGAATAGCAAACCACAAATGGACTCCTTTAGGGACCACAAGTGCCCCCTGTCGACAGTTTTCTTTCTCTGTGGTACTTAAATGACTGTAATTAGAAAAGATAGTCCAGAGGATTGGAAGGAACTTTCACCAAGCACAATATCCCTCAGGTATGTGGTCAAACGTTGGCGCATTTACGTTACCATTTTATTTTATTATTTAAGAAATCAGTATAAAAATGGAAGAATATGTTAAAGAGTGAAGTACGTAGGCCTATAACTTCTTTCGTCCTAATGTTCATGTCAGAATAGGCCATTTCATGTAAACAAAAAAGAAAAATGTTTAGAACAGTCCTAAATTGCTTATTTATCACAGTATTTTAAGCTTATCTGATTTTAAGTACAAAGAGTGAAAACGCCAGCTTTAAATTAGATTCAATTACTCCAAGTGAAATTGTGATACTCCAAGCAAGAAATACATGTATGTATTGATTCCTTGAAACCCTGTCCATAGAACATAATGTTGTTTTTGATGACAATTCTGATGATATATCATCTTTGTCCGTGTGATACATCTTTTTTCAGTTTTACCCAGATGCATACATAGATAATAATACTGTTTGCACGATTACTTCTTACGTGTGGCATAGGAAAAAATGACCTTCCTCGCTTGTCTTTAAGACCTTTCTGTTTTTAAGTCAAAATATTAAAATATTTAATATATTGATTAAACTCCAATTAGCATACTGATCAAATGAACATTTTAATGAAGGATGAATGTGATCTGACCTGTGATGAATCTATTTCATTCATTTACTTCCCTTTAAAAGGAACTCAAAAAATCTTAAACTTTTTTTTTACATTAACTTTTGGTGAATAGCTGAGAATCAAAATAAAGCAATTGTCATATTCAATTTGTGAATCGGTTAACGCATTTTTCCTTTTTTCAGAAGCCACACAATGTTGAAACAGGTGTTGTGCCTTGCCCTAGTGGCACTTGCAGCAGCCCAGAATGTTGATGGTGAGTTCATCATTTTGATATTTGACAGTTAAATTCAAATGTTAGGCCCCACACATAACTGAGTAAATATACACTGTGAAGAGAAGAAGAAAACTGACTTAATGCTTTCCTCTCATTTGTAAATGATCTGACCTCTCTCGATTGATGCTTCTACCATTTTAAGCAGAGTTTATTTTACAAAGCGCATTGTTCTTTAAATGAGTATTGTTCATCATCGGTTCATTTTGTCAATAGAGCAGTGTGGGACGTGCGTGGTGGATGGCGGTCCTTTGACAGAGAATGGCGCCGTTGGCTACACTTACGATCCTAACGACTGTGGCGGATACTGGGTGTGCATTAGGCGCAGTGAGAGAGGTGACGATGGTTGGATGTACAGTGTTTTCACGAAAAGCTGTGCACCTGGAACTCTCTGGAACCAAGACGTTCAGTCCTGTAGCCGGTGCGACGACGAGGCAGTAACTTGCGAAAACTCTGGTCCGAAACCTCCCCTTGGCTCTGACCAGTGTCCAGAACGTAAGTATATTGGACTGCATTCCATATGATA